CTCAACACCCAGAATCCGACATGCAGCAAAAAAAAGAAACAGGCCGGATTTGGATCGTACTGCCAACGCACAGCAAGGCCATGCCCGTGAAAAAAAAAAACAAAAAAATCTGAGTGGACATTTTTCATGCCCGGGGTACCCCGGGCGGCACCCCACCCCGGGCAGGGTGCCCGGGGCGCCCGGCAGAGCGTGCCCGGCCGAGCGCCCCGGGAAAGCTAGCTTGAATCTGGATTTCAAGGAAGACGAGGAGTGACTTTAGGGCTCCCCTCAAGTTAGGCGAGCTTGATGGTGGCAGCCATATCTGCACCTACGGACTGCAAGTTGCTGCTTTGATCTTCAATATCGACGGGGGATCCGACTTTGTACTTTGGGGTAGATGTTGACCCTCCTAGACGATAGGACACTAGTGTAGAGGATGCTAATTGGGTTAGGAGGACTACATGAGAGGGTGGTGAGTTCTCTCATCTCAAGAGCCCGACCACTCAGGTAAGTGTCGTGCCGCCAGGGTGCCCATGTGTGTGTCCATGGAATTGACTGCCTGTTGGGGTTTTCTAGGTTCTTCTTCCATCCTCCATAGTCTTGATTGTGTGTGAGGTGAGTGAACTGCCTACTCACCTGACGAGTGAATGAATGGAGTATCTTGCTAGCCATGCTATATCTCTCTACAGTGCTTTGTTTACTTCATTCTGAACGGCTGTACTCTGTAGGTTCTTTCTGGGGCAAAATTTTGTTTTGCAATTCGGTAGGGACAGAGTAGGTCTTTGTGGAACTCTTGTTGGTTGGGACCCGGTTCTGACTCCATTGGGACCGTTTGGGACCTAGTGGGACCAGGCCCAAACAAGAAGGGCCCCTCAGGCCAAATCTGTTGACGTTAGTTACCTTGCTCTATCTGATTGGGACTCAGACTTTATGCTTTCGGACCAGGACACTAGCTGCGGAGGGGATCTCCACTGAGACGTTTTATCAGACTTTACCGCACAATCCGCCGCCTGACTCGCACCTTGGGCACCACTCAATTCTCTCTTGCATTACGCTGTACACCTTGAATCTGATTTGCTGTGTCTTCACGGAGCTAAGTCCGGCTAGGCTTGAGAGGACCTCATACGTAGTCGGTCCAGACTGTGTGGCTGGATCAGATCTCTCTGATCTTTATTTTTTGTTTTGACTGCTCTCCAATCCAAATGAATTGTCGCTCCGGCTAGGAGTTCTACCTTCTCTTCTAATTGTTTTCAAAGTTGTTTCTTTGACTTGGTTCGTTAAACGCCTGCGTCTACACGATCGCAAACAAGAGAGAGAGAGAGAGAAGAGAGAAGCTTCTGAGAGTTGCTCTTGAGGGAGTGAGGAGAGGGAAGAGGAGTGCTCGTCCCAGAAGTGTGAGGAAGTTCGGATCCCTCTTGAGAGACTTGCTAACACCCTCATCCTCCACTATGGCATCTGCAGCAGAGTGGAAGCTGCAAATGGACGCTGCCCCTGAGGCAGAAAAAGCGCAGTACCGATTCTTCTATGAGAAAGCATTGAAGAGGGAAGAGGAAGAGAAGGAGAAGGAGAGGGAGGAGAAGGTAAAGGCTCATGAAGCCATTTTCTGTACCGTGCCTGCCCTAACCGATGAGTAGGTGGAAGCGAAAACCGTTCCACTCCTCCGGGCTTTGGTAGACGTCCGGGCTGTTGAGGACCATACTGGCCAACTCGCCAAAGTGTTCGACGAACTCAAGAAGTTGCGAGAAGACATGRCCCTGATGGCGCAGCAGCACCGTGACCAGCTGCAACAATTCGCTAACGTGCAGCCAGCCCAAAGTATCCTTCCGCCTGCTTACCCTGCTTCTAGTGCTGCATGTCAGTCTGTTCTTGCCCCTCTAACAACGTTTTCTTCTTCTTCTTCTTCTTCTTCTTCTTCTTCTTCTTTGAGTGTGGCCAACAGCCTATCCGAATCTGCAGCAGGTCCAGACCCCGTTGTTGCTGCTGCTGCTGCTGCAGCAGCAAGTGGCAGTGCAAGGCATTCTGGAACTGTTGCAGTCCCAAGTTCGGACCCAGCAGCCGCTGGTCCAAGCTGCAACTTTCCTTACATGGATAGAAAGGCGGTGCAGATTCCGTCTAAGTATGACGGAAAGGACGACATCGAATCTTGGATCAGCTCGATGAGATCCTACTTCGATGTGTTGGGGACACTCCCAGTTACTCATTCGTCGGTCCTAGGGACCAATGTGGAACCCGCCGTAAGAGGATTCTTGGAAATCCAAGCTGTGCAAGTAGGCTATAAAAGAAAGACCTGAACAAATGGCTGAAGGCTACGCTTGTAGTCACACTCGAGGAACTCTTGATTAAACAGTATGCTGATCCACATGCTACAGCTAAAGCCAGACTCAAGCTTGACAAGCTCAAGCACAGCAAGTGAACGAGCACCATGCATAATCTGCAACAGTATGTTAGTAAACTTTTTGCTACTCCTGACTTGGAAATGACTGCGCAGTCTTGCTTGGATGTGATAAAAGGCACAGTCCCCTCTACTATAACACATCGCCTGGGGCTCGGACTCATCGCGTACACAGATTGGCTTACCCTCATGCCGGACTTAGTCAAACTGGAGGCACAAGACCTCCAGGGTGGATCGGGTGGCAAAAAGACCACCGGCCGCAAACGGTTTCCGGGCAGCAACCATTTTTCAGCGCACGATTTACTTGAGGATGACGAGGAGACCTTCGCAGAGAATCCTTCTCTTGATGACGATCAAGAGCAAGGCTGCGAGGCATCTTGATCTTCGTCGGCCCATGAATCTGAGTGTGTGAATGATGATGAATCTATGAATGCCTTCAAGAAGACTGCGTTCAAAAGCAAGGGACCGAGGACCACGATGAAGAACAATACTAACACTATTCGTCTTCCCAAGGGATCGAAAATTCCACCCAAACCGGAAGATCCTGCCACAAAACCATGGGTAGATCTCCGGATCAGTGAAAATGAGTGGAAACACAGGGTGAAGAAAGGGGTTTGCCTGCATTGCACCAAACCGGGACATTCAGTCCAACATTGCTTCAGATTGCAGCAGGGAAACCAGCAACGGGGGTAGAGACATCATCAGCACACTCTACAGACGGAGAGGCTGAACATGTAAGTGCAAATCCTTCACTCGATTATGATCCCACTCAGCAAACCTACCTTGAAACCCCATCCGACGCTGATTCCAAGGCTCAGAAAGAGAAATTGCACATCCTCTATAAGGAGCCGTGGGTGGAGTGGGAATATATTGACTTCCATGCTCTGTTGACGCGCTGGGCTCATATGAAGCAAGAACGCGCGCAAGGGAGAACGAAGTTGATCTTCTTCAAACTCTACATTAACGGTCGTTACATCCGTGCGTTGGCTGATTGTGGCGCAACCGCCAACTACTTCTCACCGCACAGCATTCGTAAGGCACGCTTGGGGATGAAGCAAGTGACTTTGCAGAATCCTTACCGGACCCAAGTGGGCAACCAAGAGGTTGTCACATCTTCGCATCCAGTCAGAGGTGTGCGCACTACCTTTGACGCAGACCGCACAATCACGCATGAATTGAACTTCTACGTCCTTGATCAGTGCCCCTTCGACGCGGTTATTGGCTTGGGCTGGTTGCAGGCCCAATGTGCAAGAACCACGTGGAAGGATTCACAATTCATGGTCAAAGATGCCATGGGAATCGAGTCTCCCGTCCTCTTGGATGAGCCGCGCGAGTCCCAAGTAACTTTTCTCAATGCAATGCAATTCTGCAAAAAAGTGGCGCAGGAGCAAAATTGATGAGCAAATGTATATAGCCTTTGTTAGGCCTGCTCATGTGCCTTCTATTTTTGCTGTACATAATGATTCTACTTTGCATGTCGTTTCTACTTCTGAGGCAACTACTTCTACCTTTACTAAATCTACTTCTAGTCCAAATGACTCTGCTTCAAATCCTGTTGTTTTGGCTGTGCACCGATGCAATCCGATATGCTTGCACCTTAATGTGATGATCCACTTCCGGAGATCCCATCAGAAATTCGCAACCATCTCAACCGATTTCCTGAAGTCTTGGCCGAACCGCATGGAGTTCCCGTGCGACCGGTCCGACACAAGATCGAGTTAATAGAAGGTAGCACTCCTCCAAATGGCTGTGTGTATCGAATGGGCTCAAGCGAATTGGAAGAGTTGTGAAGACAGATCGATGACATGATTGGGAAGGGATGGATCAAGCCAAGCGAATCCAAGTTCGGTGCACCAGTTCTGTTTGTCCCAAAGAAAGGAGATAAACTACGGATGTGTATTGATTACCTCGGATTGAATAGAATCACAAGAAAGAATGCATATCGTTTGTTGCGTATTGATGATCTGCTTGATGCTGCAGGTGGGTGCAAGGTCTCCAGCAAGATCAATCTCAAGTCAGGCTACCACCAGATTGAAGTCGATCGTGCAGACCAACACAAAACTGCATTCAAAACTCGCGATGGGTTGCACGAGTTTACTGTCATGCCCTTCGGCCTCACGAATGCACCAGCCACCTTTCAAAGTCTCATGGACAAGGTATTCCGCAACCAGATTAATCAGTTTGTTGTTGTTTATCTGGATGACATACTAATCTTCAGCAAATCGATGACGGAACACATGAGACACCTTGAGGAAGTGTTGCAAATCCTCAAGAATGTGCAACTTCATCTCAACTTGGAGAAATCTGAGTTTGGGAGGGACAGCGTCATCTACCTTCCGCAATTGGCCCCAACCGGCAAATGTCCGCGAATTGCGTTCTTTTCTTGGTCTTGAGTCATACTACCGTAAGTTTGTACCCAAATTCTCTATCATAGCCCGTCCGCTGTCCAAATTGACAAGTACGAATGTGTCTTACACATGGGATGGGGAATGCACAACAACCTTCCAGGCGTTGAAGGAGGCTTTGGTGAGTCATCTGGTGCTCCGCATTGCAGATCC